ACTAGATGCCAACAGAACCCAGCCTCTAAGTATCTCTGTTCTCAGGCATCCCTTCCAATCCTGAGAGCTCCTTCCTGTCACAGAGGTACTGGTTCAGAAAAGAAAAACCCAGTGCGAGGCTAATTCTTTGTAGGAGCAGAAGTTGACACAATGCACAGAGAATGTGTGCTGGAGCCTGATTCAGAGTCCAAAGCTGGGTAGAGAATTCTGAAGGAAGGCAATAGTGTGTCAGCCTTGATAAAACCCCAAGGGAAATGCCAGAAGGGAAGACAATAAACCTGTTTAGTAAAAGGGTGGGAAGACCTGATGGATGTGAATTGCTTTGATTCACAAAACTCATCAAGTACCGGTCAATGATCAGTTTTCGAGTAGGTTAAAGGACAGTGGAAATAGCCTCCGTGTTTGTACCTGTGCAGGCTCCTGCTTTCTGGGAACCCAACCTGCCACACCCTGTCTATAAAGCCATGGTCCTGCACCTGCCTCCCACTCTGATGTCATATCTCAAGAAGCTTCCTCTGAGTCCACTTCCGCCACATGGACCTTCTTTTGATGCCTCAGAGTCTTCTCACTTGCGGGTCCCTTAGCCTGTGAAGACTTCTCCCACTCATCCTTCAGAACCAGCTTAAACGGCATGACTTTAGTGATGCTTTTCCTTGACTGCCTTCACCTCTGTCCAAATAAAAATGAATTTCCCCTTTCAATCCCCACTGGTAGTGAAAGTACAATCCCTTTCACTATCCTTCGCTTTTCCTTCATAGTAACTTAGACCAGTTAGGATACTTTGAACAGAACAATCAGGGTGTTCTTAGAATAGTTATGATGCAGTGAACAGAACACCTGAGTAAAAGTAACTTAAATAATAGAGGTTTGTGAGTCTCGGGTGATATGAGGTTTACAGGCAATGCTAGAGTTGGTACGGTGGCGGCGCGGCTACATGGTTGGGATGGGGGGGGCCCCATGCCCCTTTCTGAAGTTTCCATCCATGCGAAGGAAGCTCAGTCACTGTAACTCCTGTACTCTTTCTTCCCCTTTATTCTCTCTGTCCCTGGCAGGGAAGAGTGGTTTATCTCTTTGGTAAATTTGGTCGATCTCCTCTTGGGACTGAACTTGCCACACGCAGCTCTTGGTCTCTGCTGTTCTGGCTGTGACCTGTCACTGGGTGATAAGTCTGCCTAACTTGTGGAGTCAGGCCCATCTGGTTCTTCTACTAAGTTGCATCCTCATACTTAGCATTTATCAGCAACCCAGGTGATATTTTCCCCTTCATCTCTGTCTTCATTATCCTATTTCCTGATTTGTTCAGAACTCAGAGTGGGGAAAAGGGAGCTGTTCATCAGGCTTCTTTAGAGACTCCAGCAAATGCTATCAGGAGCCCAGATATGTTCAGTCTGCTTGCTCCACCATGATCAGTATGTCAACAATGTGTCCCCTTAGTGTCACGTGGTATCTGCCACAGCCGCAATATCACATTCTCACATGACCACATCCCAAGCAGGAAGGATAGGGAAAGGAGCAAAAGAGATTTTCCATTGAAAATATTTCCCAGAAGCTCCTCTGTAGACTGTCCCTTACAGACTAGTGGTCAGAACTGGGTCACATTCCAAACCAGTGGCCTGCAGAGGGAAATGGAAATATCATGACAATTTAGTCCAATTCAACTAAATTATGTTGAGTCATTTGGAACTGGGGATATGGCCTCCTAAACAAAGACAGGTTCCTTTTAGCAAAAGAAAGAAGTGGGTGGTGGTCTCAAAAGGCAGCTACTAGTGTTTGTGGTATTACTGTTCACAATTGGTAGTTGAGTATTTATTAGCTTGATGATTCATGAATGAGCTTACTATCCTTTCCAGCTTATGTCCCAGGACACAGGATGGATGGCTGAGTTGTTCAGTGCTGGGCCCTGAGCACCTACTGTAGAGCCTTCGTCAAAGTAGTGGCTCAGTAAATATTCATGGAAACATATGAATAATTACATGCTCAGAGTTACTGGGCACCATAGTGAAAACCAAGAGAAATGTCAAACACATTGCTTGTTTTAAAAGACTTTATGGTGCAGATGAGGCAAGACTCACATATTTAAATCCTTTTCTATCAACATGAGACAAAGTGTCTCCCTTCCTTCTTCCAAATAATACTTATCAAGTTTATAATGTGCAGACACAGTGGTAGGTGCTGGGGGGAGGGGTAAGCAAGACATGAACCCTCTCTTGGATAGTGAAAGGTTAGTGAAGGAGATGAAGGAGGAAATCACCATGATAAAGAGAAGTAGGGAGGCTGGGGGAGCACAAGAGGGGAAGTTCCACATTTCCTCTTTGCTCTTAAATCCACAGAATCCCAGCCCAGGGCCTGGTACCTAGTAAGCACTCAAATAATAGTGGCTATTAATTGTTGCAGGGGAAACACACACACACACACACACACACCCTTCTCACACATTTTAGACAGGCATTGTTGGTTACACTGTACAGATCAGGAAATTGAGACTCAGGGAAACTAAATGACCTTCACAAATACTGAGGGACAGAGCCAGGATGAGATCCCCGCTCTGCTGGTGACTTGCTCCTTGTTTCTGCTCCTCCTTGCCTTCCTGGTGAGGTGACCAGCTGACATCAGATTCTTGGTCTCAGGAATTGCTCTGTGTCTGGCATCCTCATTTGACCCTCGAACATCTAGATCCATCTTCTCACATGTGCTGAGGAGACCAACATTCATTTCTCTCCTGTCATTCAGCTAGCAACCCAGTACAAGCAAATGGAAACCGCCAGTGCTGGGAGACCAAGGTCTAAACATGTAAGATTTATTTTTCTCCTTGTCTTTTAATGACGGTATGTCTTTTGTATTTAAGCACTATTTATAATTAGTCACTTCCTAGAAAGTGTGCAAACATCACAGCACAGCTGGGAGCCTGCATAATTTAAACACTATTGCTCATTTAGCTTCACAGTCTGGGTTGTGTGGGTTTTACAAAAGAGCCCTCAAACCCTGGAAGGTGGGGTGGGGATAGTCGTTTATTTTTTAACTGATATCTCTCTCCTAGTGCTCTGCACAGGTTTTTGTATGGATTATCAAAATTTCACATGAAAATGCTAACAATCAAAATATTTAAATACTATTATTACATTAAGCCTTCAAAGAGCCTTGGTTTGCCAATTCCCAGCTATAATTTTCATACTTTAATGGATATGAGTAACTGTTCTCCAACTTAGGTATACAGGAAATAGCATTTTCTTTATTTCCTTTAAATCACCTTAATTACGATACTAGATCCTTATCCGCCTGAGATGTGGAAAATTTAATCTCAAACCTTACTGAAACGCCTTCATGGTCCAGGGCTTTAACAGGATCTGAAAGGCTGCAGTGGTCAGCTGTCCTTATTGTCCAAGGCCAGGGGGCCCCTGCCTCTGGGCCAGTCATAGGGTTGGAGGTTCTTTCCTGATGAGCTCAAGGTCCTCCTCCCTCAGGCACACCAAATGGCCCTCCTCTCTGAAGCGCTTACATCTTCTAAACTCAGCCACAGAGCAGTGTGTGGGACTGAGCTGCATGAAGAATCCATGTCAGTGGTCTTCGCCCTGGCTGGGCAAGTCAAAGTCTCTCTATCCTCCCTTCAAAGTCTCTCTATACTCCCTTCTCTTTTTGGGGAGACAAACCTTTTCTCTTCAAATGGCTGAAGCTGGAACAAAAGATGGGAAAAGTCCCCTGCTCCAGGTTGCTTCCACTCTTCTGCCCTGTAAGCAGGCAAACGAAGTCCACCGGCTTCCTGCTGTAACTGTAGGGAGGGAAAGATATAGGAAGAACAAACACAAATAAATCTCTTAATCTATTACCCTGCCACATTAGTTAATCCTCATTAACCAGTAGTTTTATATTTTTCAACCCAGAGAGATTAACTTACTAAGAATATCCTATATATTTATTCAAACAATATTTATTTAGCATCTCTGATGTGCACTTCAGTGTGCTGGCTACTGCAGACACAGCTATGGCATTATTGTTACCAATTCTTCACCTATCCCTGTGCCTGAGCCCTGTACTGTGTGACTTTGCATTTGCCCCTACTAGAGGCAGAGTAGATTTTCTTACATTACTGAGGTCAGGGTTGGCCGTGTGGCTTACTTTAGCCTGTAGGGTGTGGACAGAAGTGACTGTGAGCCAGTTCCAAGACTAGGTCTTAAGAGCCTTGGTTTGCTTTCACTGCCTTTCCCACTTCCATCACTGCCATGAGAAAAACATGCCAGTGGTTCTAAAGAATAAAAAGTACTGTCAGTTTGGAGTTAAGTTCAGTGAAGACCAGCTTAGAAGAGTCAAACCTCAGTCAAGCCATGGATGTATAAGTGAGAATAAATAACTTTTGTAAGTTACTGAGTTAGGGCATTATTTATTATGCAACATTAGCTGACTGATACAAGTGGTGAACGAAAAAGACATGATGGCTGCCCTCATAGAGTTTACAGTCTAGAGGGAAGGCAGACATTAAACCAATTATTATTACACAAGCAATTTTAAAAATTATAATTGTAATGAGTGTCATGAAGGAAGTATGTAAGAATACACAGTGCTGGAAGAGAATGTACAAGAACATCTAGCCAAGTTTTTTTTTTTTTCAAGGGAGAAGGTAGTTCCGGAAAGAGTAATACTGAGATTTCCTATCTGTAGCTAACTATTATACTCTCAAATTCCCTCAAATAGTTAACCTTGTTGCATTTGTGAGGACCTTGTAAGCCACTTTAACCCTGAGAAATGAAACAACCAAAATACATGAATAGTTACTAATGATGTGCACACGTCTACAGTGGGGCTCTGGAGCACTCAGGTTGTATGGGGTTTGATGTGCTCTCTAGCTACTGGGGGCAGAGGAAGCAATACACAAGCTCACCAACCATGTGAAGTGGCATCCCAGTAGTGTCAGAAGGCCCCAGGTAAACCTTGATGGATAGGTAAGTTGCACGTCATTGGTAGCCTACTTCTTTTCTTTCCTTTTTCTATCCTAGGAGAAAGTAGGTTGTGCATCCAAAGATTTAAGAATTAAGAGCCTGTTTAGGCAAAGTCCCATGGGGGTATGCAAATAAAACATTCTTCAGATGCATTTGGTCTCATGGGAGTGAGTATGTCAAATTCATTAATGCCTGCGGTACAAGGTGGAATAGGAGATGCAAAAAGAACTAGGTAGAGCAGTGAAGAAAAGTGGACTCCAGTGCCCGGCCAGCCTAGGTTTGAGGCACAGCTCTGCCACGTTAGTGTTATGTGACCTTAGAAAAATGATGTAACTTCCCTGAGTCTCATTTTTCTCATCTAGGAAATGGGAATGACCTATGGTGGAGGCTGCTAGAGCTTACCATTACCTGGTTCTGTTCTTCCTGGGCACACGGTCTGACTATACTTACAGTTAGGTATGGCTATATGATTGAGCTCTGATCCATAGAATGTAAGTAGAGATGCTGTGAGTGCTTCTAGGCCTACTTGGTAAAACTCTCCCATGTGTAATCCTTGTTCTCTTTCCCCATCTTGTAGCTGAATAGAGAGAGTCCTCATACTGTAGAGGAGGGTCCAACCACAAGGTGAAAGGATCCTGGGTTCCCAGATGACAGCACAGAGCAGAGCTCCCCATCTTAACCCAAATCACCTAACCATTGTGAGGTGAGCAAGACATAAACTTTCATTGTGTTCAACCACTGGAATTTTGGGGTTATTGCCATTAACTTATCGTGATTAATACATTGATCTACTTCACAGGATTTTTATGAGAGAGCTTGTGAAATGCCTCACTTAGGTGCCCAATACATGGTCGTTGTTACCATCAAGATTATTGGTAAGTCCTATAAGAATGGTGCTAAATGAAGATCTGGGGCTTTGGGGAAGCATGGTGGTTTCCAGTCTGGCCCTCAGTTCCCTGAGTCTGAGCCCTGCCAAGCCACTGAGATTATCTAAAGTTTGAAAACCTGGGGGATCTGGCCTTGGCGTTTTTCTGCTACCTGCCCAGAGGCCAGCAGAGTGATTGCTCAGTGCAGGAGACAGAGGAAATGAGAACAGCCTCAGAAATAGATGTAGTCAGAGAAAAGCAATGCCGTTGTCTCCAGAATACAGGCAACTAGAAGCTCTTCTTCCCAGAAAGCTCTTCTCTGTTTTCCCTGAAGATGATTGATGCTGGAAATGGGAAGCCTAGACATGGCAAAGCCACAAAGTGCTTTCCGAATCAACCTCGGAGCAAGCCTTAAATGCGTTGTGGGATGCTCTAATTCTTGGGGAGCCAATCGTCTTTGACTGAGTATAAGTCTGATATCTAGTAAGTCAATTAACTAGCATTTCTCACTTAAACAGAATACAGTAGTCTACAATCTAGCATGCACAAACTGGCAGCCCAGCTTTTAAAAACTGAGCTAGTTGCCAACTTTTAAAAACTGGAAGACTTCACATAAACTTTCATGTTTCTAGTAGCTCTCTAACAGTCAAATAACCTGGAGATACTGGCCCCACACTTCCAACTGGTGACAACTGGCTGGTGCTGAGTAGAAGCTGCACCTCTAAGAGGTGGCAGACACTGTAGCATTTGCCATGGTACTTACCCAACCCTGTTTTACTATTTACGTTACTTACTTGGCCTTGATAGTCTCCTGAGTTTGCAACCTCTAAGTCAACTCTTATGATCAACATGACTTTACTATATAGTATAATTGTTGGTGATTATGCCTTATTTTTAAGCCAATGGTATTTTAAATGTATTTGCTTATTTGTTCAAGAAATGCCAATTGGACAATCGCTATGTGCAGTGCATGGTGCCGAGTATTGTGGCACTACAGAGATGTGCCGTATTCTCAAGAAGTCCTAGTCCAGTGTCAGGGATATAGTATGTACAAAAACTATACTAAAAGGTACAAAAGTTTCCATTTCTAGGGAGGGAAGAAGGGAAGATTTATTCCTCCTGAGATGATAAAATAAGGCTTCATAGAGGAGGAAGTATTTATACTGGGCTTTGAAGATTTGGTCTGATTTAGGTGTGTAAAAATTGCAGGGATGGACAGCTATGAAGGGGGAACTGTGTGAGCCAAGGCCTAAAGGTGTTCCTCAGTATGTACAAGGAGTAAAGAATAATTAAGTTTGATGGGAGCATAGGAGTCCTCAATGAGCATGGTGGGAAATAACATTGAAAAGCTGAATGAGACCAAAGCGTGAAGGTCTTTGAGGCAATCTAGAAGGTTTAAACTATTTCTGTGGACAACGAGGACCCATTGAGAGATTTTGAGTAACGGAAAGTCAGGCTCAGAACTGTGATTCAGAGAGAAAAATCCAGAAATAATATGGAATGTAGATTAGTAAAGAGAAAGACCAGAGATTATTGCAATTTTCTAAATTAAAAAAATAAATAAATAAAGTATCAAACCAAGGTCATAGCCATCCAAACAAGACAATGGAAGTGAGAGATGTTACGTATGTAAAGCCTTTGGGTTTTTATAAACAGTGAGACCAAGAAACAAGTAGAACTGGATCCTTCTGAGAGGTGAAGGCCTAAGTGGAGTTGGGAAGAAGTGTGCCCGGCAAGGAAGGAGGGGGAAAGCATGGCTGGGAGGAGATATGATTTTGGAACAGGGGGACTTGAGCACACTTGGATTCTAAGGAGGATGCAGGGAAAGGCAGGGTGTTAAGAGACAAGAGAAAGGAATCAATGAAGCAGGGCCTTTGAGGAAGCAGGAGGGGGAACTACCTTCAAATGCTGCCTGACAGAGAGGCTGATCCTTATTTGAATCAGCCACTGTTGGCCTCGGGACCATGTCTAACAGGTAGGACACCTTGACCATTTACATCTGCCAAGTGGTGCACTCCTGGGTGATGCCTCTTTGTGCTGCGTAGATGATGCCAGCCTGGGAGGCTACCTCTGGGACACTGGTAACAATAGTCTGACAGTTTCTTGGGTTCTGGTGATCCTTCCCAATTCATCACCTGAAAAGTGATTTCCAGCTAAAACCTAGTATGCCCCATGGAACATGCTACATTCTCTGGTTCTTTCCTCCAGTAGATGCAACTTATTAAACACAGCAGATTGTCAACACGAGACTCACAGATAAAAGTTCTTGTATCTGTTCCCCAGGTCATGCTTTCCAAGATGCTTCTATTTCCTTTTCACTTTTATTTTCTATTCCCCATACGTAAGTATGTTAATGATTACAACTAAAAGTTGCAGAGAGAGTATTTAACATCTACAAAGTCTTTCCTCATCTGATTCTTCTAACAACCTTATCAGGTTGGTATGATCATTAGACCCATCCTACAGATAAGGAAACTGAGGCTCAGAGAAGTGAAATATCTTGTGCAGTCATTGACAGGTAATAAAGAGCAGAGTTGGGATATGAATCCAAGATCCCAAGACTCCAGAGTTCATGTTGGAAGGAGTTGAACCATCCAGACACTCCATCTGAACTATTGATTTCGAGGTTTCAGATTAGATTTAAGCAGTTTGAGTTTGGGGTGCATATCAGTTATTTCTTGCCACCATAATGCTGTGCAACAAACAACCACCAAAGGTCAATGACATGTAATAATAAACATTTATTAGCTCACAAGTCTGCACAGCCTGACTGTTCTGGGCTGGGCTGATCTTGGCTGTGCTCACTTGTTTGCTTATGATAAGTTGTGTTTTGGCTAATCAGCCCTGTAATGCTCACTGTATGGGAATTGGCTGGCTGATGGCTGATCTAGAATGGTCTTGAATGAGATGACTGGGTGCCAGCTCTGGTCCATGTCTTTCTCCTTCCAGTGAGGCCAGACATGTTTTAAGGTGATAACAGAGGAAGTAGAAACATTGCAAGTGCTGTTTCACATCTCTACTTAAGTTCCATTTGCTAATAGTCCTTTCAGAGTAAGTCATGTGTCCAGCCCAGATTCTAGGAGAATCTTTATTGAGAGGAATTGGAGAGTCACATGGCAAAGCACATGGATATAAAGAGGGGTAAAGAATCGAGGTTATTAATGCAATCAGCCTACCATGAGATGAAAGTCCAAAGTGAGACTTTCTCATTTCTACAGATTTACCATACCATCAAAATACAGTTAGAAAGCAAAGCATTTCAAATTCAGTGGCTTCCCGTGATACTAAGAGTAAAACCTAAGTTCCTTCTCATGACTACAAGACTCTCCATTAGCTGCTCCAACAACTTCTCCAAACTCAACTCCAAACACTCTCTCCAGGCTCCCTGCGATCCCAGCCATACTGGCCTCCTTAGTTCTTCAAACAGGCCCAACTTTCCTGTCTCAGGGCTTGGCACGTGCTGTTCCCTTTACCTGGAAAGCTTCCCTGCCCCACTCCTCACCTTTTGGTTGGTTGCCTCCTCTGCATCCTTTAGGACTAGGCTGAAATGTCACCTCCTCAGAAGGGCCTCCCTGCTCTCCTGACCCCAAGTTTTAGCCTCTATCTCAGCTTCCTATGTGGATTCCTACTTAACCCTCATCACCCTTTGCAGTAATATTTTTTACTCGTTGGCCTGTCTTTTGGTCTGCCTTCGCCACTGGAGTGCAAGGTCCAGGAAGACAGGAACCACATCTGCCATGTTCACCAGTATCCCAGTGCCTGGCACAGTGCTTGACACAGAGTGGACACTCAGCGTACACTGGAATGAGTGAATGAATATCTGGGATAGTGTTTTCTTCCAGACAAACTCGCAAAAATAGAGACCAAGCTCTCTGGACTTGGAATTCAAGGTCTTCCATCCTCAGACACTCCCCATGACCTTAGAATTTTGAGATGCTTGACTTATCAGGGAGAGCAACATTAGAGTGTCTTTCCTCTTATATGGTTGGGGGTGGGTGGTAGAGGTAGAGCAGGACCAGGGGGGCCACCCCTAACCCTTGGCCATGAGCAGGTGGGGAAGCTATGGAATCTATGATGGGGAGGGGTAAGAGCACTAGAGATGGATGCAGGAAATTGGGGCTCTAGCCCTACTCTGACATTTTCCTGCCACGTGTCCTTGGGCAAGTCCCTGGGAACCTGTGTGCCTCAATTTCCTCATCTGGAAAAAGGGGATAGGAATCTCCAGCTTGCAGGATAGATGTGGGGGTGAAATGCACATGACAGGAGCACATCTCTCTGAGGATCAAGTGCAGGGCCAGTTCAGTAGGGATGGGGTCTCCATCATTTCCTCTTTCCCAAGCAGGTTCCAAGTGCTTCCCTTCCTACTCATGTCTCCCTTGGACCGTGCATCCCTCTGGCCTATTCCTAGCAGCACTTCCAGATACTCTGTCAGACAAGGGGGCTGTGCCTACTGCAGAAATTGTTTCTAAACAAGTCTAGGGTGTTACTCAGCATCAGACCTAAGCCCATGGACAGATGGGGAGAGGGTGCGAATATTCGCAAACACTTGTGAACGAGGCCTTCAAAGTCGCCCGGCTCGCCACTCCGTGTTCACCAACCTGGTGTGGGAAAGAGGGTTAAATGCACTGAGCACCCACTGGGGCTCAGGCCTCTGCTAGACACTCACACCCATTTCCTCACAACACTTATTTTAACATCATCCCCATTTTACAGACCAAGAAACTGAGGCTCAGGGACATCAAGTGTCTTAGTCAGTGCCCAACTTTGATACAAATGAACTACCAAAAATGTGTAAGTTAAACGTTCTAAGAGATGAAGTGGGGAGGCTTCTTCCCATGTGCAAAACACAGTGGAATTTCTATGTATGCATCATCTTTGATAACGTGACTCCCATACTTTGTCCATGTTATTTCATCTTATTCCTTTCCTGCACAGATGTATGTAGTTGGCCAGCTTACATCAGTAAGTGTCAACATGAGGCTGAAAATCTACTTGTTTGCCTGCTCTGTGTTCTCCCTCTTGGCTCTTAACATTGTGTTGCAATTCTGAGAGCTATATTTCTTAGGACTAATATCAATGTTATCAATTTCTATTTTCCACTCATTTTTATAGAACAGTGAAGGCAAAATGCAATAAAATCGCTAACATTAAGTGCTTCACTATTCTGAGCAATACCCATTAAAAGATGTGTAGTGCATTCACAATCACATCTGCTGCATTATCTAGTATTTCCCTGAAAAGAGAGGAATCCTGGTTTGATTAGGCATGGATGAGAACCCACTCCTCCACTTAGAAATTAACATGTCTGATGACTACAGGAATTTTCCACAGGCAGGGTTCTGCCTTCCTACATTTCAAGGTACTCCCTACCAGTGCCAGGCCCCGCAGGACACTTCCTGAGCACTGTGTCATCTTTAGCCCTGCACCTTCAGGTTACGACGATGGATGATGGGGAGAGGGTGCGAATATTCGCATGGATGGATGGTGGGTGGCAGCAGTGCTCTGGAAGCCATTCCCACACTAGGTGGCAGGCAGTAGCCTAATCACACAGACATCTGACTGAGAACCACAAAAACATCCCCTTAGATTCAAACTACAGGGTTCTTCTCAGGCTAGACCCCCAAAATGCCCATGACCATTTCAATGCCTCTTGCATAAGGGAGAGTAGGAGGGAGTGGAGGTATTGTTAAAATATCTTCCTTATGCAAATTAAATATATCTGTCTTATCTATATACCCATCTCTATATCTGTACATATCTCATTATGCAATCCCACTGCGAGGGTTGCACCTAGGGCCTTAGAAGAAGCATGTACAAATGACTCTATGTAGCAGAAGCTTCAATAACTTCATGATAATCTGCTTGTGCTGTCACAACTGAACTGGAGTCATCTGGACTCTGTCTGTCATCAGAAATGGGCATTGTTGTAGCAGGGTGGTGGAAGTGATGGGAGTGCTAGTAGGAGAAGCAAGTGAGTGATGACACAGTGCAGAGGTCAGCAAACTCTCTGGCCCCTGAGCCAAGACACGCCTGCTGCCTGTCGTTGCAAATAAGGTTTTACTGGGACACAACTACACTCATCGCCGTGGTGGGTTTTGCACTGTGATGGCAGAGTGGAGTCATTTCAACAAGACTGGTCCACAGAGCTGAAAATACTTACAATCTGGCCTTTTATGTAAAAGTTTGGGGAAAATTGTGAACATCTTGAAGAAAGAGAAAATGAGGCAAGAAAAAGCTAGCACTAGGTTCAAACTACTGGGATTTGATTCTGGCTCCAACATCTCATTACTGTGTGCTTTTGGGCAGGTTCTCAACTTTTCTGAGCCTCAATTTCCTCATCTGTAAAAGGGGATAATAGTTCTTCAGTCAGTAGTTTTCCATGAGGATTAAATGAAACCCTATATATGAAGTGCTGGTACAGTGCCTGATGTAAAGCCAGGGCTCAATATATTATTGACTGTTATTAGCTGATATCTACAAAGATAACCAGTTTTTGTTGTCAGGTCGGGTAGAAGGATTTTATGTGTGCCATGAAGGTTCAACACCAGTGCTTCTTCCTTTGCAAGATTCTCACTGCTGTATTCCATGGTGATACAGCGGGGACAGCCCAGAGCAGTTTTGATGTGGTTTAAATACCATCCTGTTGTCTCTCAACTGATTCTCTGCTCCATATCACAACCAAAGTCTAGACCCTTTTCCTCTTCTTTAGGACCCTCACCTTTTCCTCAGAGGCCAGTGAATTCTCCAACTCAATCATTCATTCACCTCATCTTAGAAGAATTTCTGGATTTTCCAAGGAAGCATCAGATGTACAGGCCAATTTACTCTGAGTTACTACTTCTTTTCTCATCCCAGATCAATCGTCTTCATCTAAGGTATAATGGAGAATGGGGTTGGCAAATGAAACCTTTTCAGAAAGAAATCTGTATCAGTTAAAATACTTTTGGCTACAGATATGAAAAGTCTATGTATACATGTAACTGACTCACTATGCTGTACACTAGAAGTTAACACAACATTATAAACCAACTATACTTCAATTAAAATAATTTTGGCTGCAAGTAAAAGAAAGCCCAACTAAATTTGGCTTAAGGAATAAAATACATTTATTAATTTGTTAGCTCTAATAACCCTAAATCCAGAGATAGGGCAGTTCCAGAGTTAGGTACTCAACTAGCTCAGGAACATCAACAAGGGTGTGTTCCCTCCAATGTGTTGGCTCTTCCTCTTAGACTGGCCCCCCTTCATGGTCCCAGGATGGCTGCCCCAGCTCCAGCCATTACATGTTGATGGCAACATCAAGAGAAGAGGCAGATTTCCATGAAGCTAATGAAACTTAAACTTCAGGGTCTCTCACTTTCACAGGCCTCTTCAAGACCTAGCAATGTACTCAAATAGCCATATACTTTGGCAAAATTTTCCAAAATAAGATGCATATATATTCTTAAAGAAGCTGCTTGAAATTATGTAAGTTTTATGTCCCACAAAATTTGGACCCATCCCTGGTCCTAAAAAAAAAATTGTCCTACTCTAGGTCCTTTTTCTAAGAACAAAGAAAATCTTCCTGGAAGCCTCCCCCCTACCCCAGACTTCCCTTTGCATCACATTGGCCAAAATTGTATCACGTGCTCATGCTTTAGTTATTTGGTGTGTTAGTCCAGGTTATCTAAGAAGTAGATGCTGAGATAGGGGTAAACAAGCTCCCCTAATTTGTTAGGGGAAATGCCTGTGAGAGAAAATGGGGAGGGAGCCAAAGAGACTGGGAGGCCTGAGCCTCCAACGGCAATGCTGGTCTGACTCTGAGTGAAGACGAGAGAGAAGGAAGGAAGGTTGGGTGAGAGTATCTTATCCTACGGTGCAGCCTAAGGAAAGTTTGGCAAAACTTTCAGGGATCACTCAAGGTTAAGTGTCCTGTGTCTCCCAGGAACAAGCCCGCCTTAGTACCCCTGCCACACACTGTTATTGGCTGGGAGCAGTCCACGTGAAACGTGAGTTATCACCAAATCAGTGATGGATTTTCAAACACAGCAGTTGGGCTCATGTCCAATTACACTCCCTGCATTAGGGAATCAAAGAGGTACATCCTCATGGCCACCACATTACCAAGGAAAACAAGCATCCCACAGCTGGCATAGACCACGAAAGATTCATCCCTGGGTCAAGGAAGGGCCTGGTCTGCACATTCAGAGCAGGGAGAACAAACGAGAGGATTCCTCTTAGTGGAAAGAAGGGAGGAAGGGTGATAGGGAGGCAACAAGAGTGTCTGCCAACCTCCTACCCCCACTGCACCCCTCAACAAACCTCTTGTACCATAGACGGCCATTGAGCATGTCCCTCTCAGACCCATTCAGACACAGCTGCTCTTTATTAGGAGTCTTCCCTGACCTCAGTGCCAGCTGAATGTATGCAGTAGAAGGGAGGAAAATAGCTTTCCATCTTTACTATCCAAATCTCAATGTTTGTAATGAACCCATTCTATCATGAAGTCAACAAAAAAGCCCTGGTCCCAGGGCTTCTGCTCTGCAGATCACCTGAGTTTAGGGCTGGGCTTCTTTTGTTTTTAATTTTTGTTGGGGTGTGAGCGTGGGTGTCCTGCATCTATTCTCATTTGGCTAATTGCATATTGCCTATTAAAAATCTCCCCCACTGTTTCAATTAGATAAAGAGTTCTTCATGTTCTGCTTGGCAAATCCGGTTGCAAAGCATTTGGTGTCCTCCCCTTTGAAGGGGAGGTGGGCATCGTTAATTATGCATGAGGTGTGGTGGGTTGAATAAATCATTTGAGTAACCTTGTCATACTTTGTCGATGATTTGGAAACGCAGGACATATTTCCTGTGGCACAAGCCTGGATTATTGCGCTTGTCTCCTAACTGTTCTTCCCACTTTCACTCTTGCCCCTACTCTCTATTTTCTCTTCTCTACTCAATACCCAGAGCAATCCTGTAAAGATGCAGTTCAGATCATGTCACTCCTGTGCTCAGATTCTTCCAACCACTACCCAGTTACTTCTAGTAAAAGCCAAAGTACTAATGCTGATCTACAAGTCCCTGCTTTAGAGGTCAGAGAAGTATGGCTCTCCAGCCAGATCCAGCTGCCTGCTGCCTGCCCTTGTAAATCAAGTTTTGGCACCCAGCCACGCCCACTTGTTTACATAGCTGCTTCCTCCTGGAGTTGAGGAGCCACGGCAAGAGCATGTAGCTTGCAAAGGCTAAATTCAAATGATCCTTTACAGGAAAGGCTCACCAACCCCTGCCCTGTATGGTCCCCTCATCCACACTCCCCGCTCTCACCATTCAGACCCCCATCCTCCCGCTCTGCTCCTTGCTCACTTTTCTCTAACTACATGCTGGGCTGTATTCCTCTAACTCAGGACACATCCTTCCACCTCAACCTTGAAAGGCTGGTCCATTTGTGGGAATATTCTTCCCCTCCGTACCCTCATGACTTGTTCCCTCACTGCTCTCAGGTCTTGATTAGATACTCACCTCCTCACCAGAGACTCCTCCAGATACCCCATTTAAATTGCAACCCTCCCCCTCCTGACAGCCTCTATTTCTTCCATGGTTTACTTTTCTCCTCAGAACTTTGCACTGACATAATACATAATTTACTGCTTGTCTTGTTGATATCCTTGACCACAAAAGTAAGATCCTTGGAGACAAATATTTTTTTCTTTTTTTGGTGTGCTCTGTCTTGAGGGCCCAGAATCGTGCCTTGCACATAGTAGGTACTCATTAAATGTTTGTCAAATGGATAAAGAGATCATCAAATGTTCATAATTCTGCTACCAAAGACAGGACCCAAACAATGGCAGCTTATTCAGGCCATAGGAGGGCTTCGCAATGTGATCAGGACCCCTTGGCTCCTCCGGCTCTCCTCCCTGCCATATTTGGGAGGTGGGTTTCTTTTCTCTGTTGTGTCCTCTTTTAAAAAAAATTTTTTTTAATTAAAAAAATTTTATTGAAGTATAGTCAGTTTACAATGTTGTGTCAATTTCTGGTGTACCGTATAATGCCCCAGCCATACATGTACATACATACATTCCTTTTCCTATCCTTTTTCATTATAGGTTACTACAAGATATTGAATATAGTTCCCTGTGCTATACAGTATAAACTAGTTGTTTATCTATTTTATGTATAATAGTTAGTATCTGCAAGTCTCAAACTCCCAATTTATCCCTTCACACCTCCTTTCCTCCTGGTAGTCATAAATTTGTTTACTATATCTGTGAGTCTGTTTCTGTTTTGTAGATAAGTTCATTAGTGTCTTCTTTTTGCCTTTTTTTTCCTTCAGATTCCACATATAACTGACATCATATGGTATTTGTCTTTCTCTTTCTGGCTTACTTCACTTAGAATGACTCTTCCATGATCCTAGAATCTGGAAAAGGAAAAGAATTGAGGCCAATAGCAGCAAGCCAATATAACAGGGCTTAAAGCTTCTTTCTGATGTAACACACGCTACTTTCCTTCACATCTAACTTACCAAAGCAAGGCACTTGACCAGGCCTAATTTTTTTTTTCTACAGGATGGGGAAATGTAATTCTACACAGCACCCAGGATGAGGAATTTTTATATTTGTGATGAATTTTGATGACGCTGCAAGTTCCAATAGCACTTCTACCATGAATACTTGCTCATGAGCTCTGCGTTTTATGTGACTCATTTAAAGTTCAAAATCCTGGTGGGAGCTTCCCAGGCCAAGGTAAGGTCATGTTCAGTGCTCCATCGAGAAGGCACATGAGGGAGGGCACGTGCTAGTTAGTCTGAAGGCCACAGCATGACAGAATCATTCCCCATATTTTTCAGTTGGAATCTGTAGTGTTGATCAATTAAGTTTCTTTCTTCTAGGATGATGCATTTTCAAAGGGACTCCTCAGATTTAAGCTAAACTCTGAGCTCTTCAAGGAGGCAGTGCTAGGTACTCAAAACATGTTTGTTTTTTTAAAAAGAATAAATTTTAATAGGAATTGTCTTATATATTCTTATGCCTTGGGACCTAGCACTGAATATATATTAGTTTTGTATGTTTCCTGAAGTATTTTTCTAAGTTAAAAGGTATTACTTAAAACAACTTAGGAGGGCAAATAAGTATGGAAAATGCCGGGTTCTTTCAGTTGTTCTTTGTAGTAGGCAGCCTCTAAGCTGGTCAGTGCCCCCATCCCTCAGTAATCACTTCCTTGTGTAAGCCCTTCCTCTTGGACATGGATTGGATTTATTGACTCACATCTAACAAATAGAATATGATTGAAGTGATGGATGTCAGTTCTGATGTTAAGTTATAAAAAGACCGTGACTTCTATCCTGGGTAACTTCTCTTAATCTTTTGCTCAGAGAGATGCCAGTAGTCATGTTGTGAGCTGCCCATGTGCAAAGAATTGATGCTTGCAGCCAATAGCCAGTGAGGACCTGCAGGCTTCCAATAGCTATAACTGCTCTTGAGAGTAGGTCCTCCCCAGATGAAGCTTGAGATGACTGCTGTGCACCTTGACTGCAGCCTGGGAGCCCCTGAGCTGAGGACCCATCTAAATTGTGCCTGGATTCCTAACCCACAGCTGTGAGATAATAACTGTTTGCTGTTTTAAAGCACTAAGTTTTGGGAATAATTTTTTATCAGCAATACATAAAGAATTCAATTAATATCTATCAGAAATATGTAAAGCTCTTGGGACACATTAATGAGCACAACAGACCTGACTTCTGCCCTTGTGGAGTTTAAATTAATTTAAACGTGTTTCTGTGCTGCGGGAGTAGACAGATCCTTTACTATGCAAATGTGCATCATTAGTCTCTAAGAGGGGGAGGATGGGTTTCTAACTTTTAAACTCTCTTTTAAACTTTGTTGTTGTTGTTGTTCTGCATTTCATGGGGCTAATGTTTTATGGAATACACATTGGAAAATTCTCCATTAGCTAAAATGAGTAAATGAATTGAAGTCGTAATTCTAAAGGCTTAAGTTCCCCTGCAAAAATTTCAGAGTATGCCCCACTTTGTTAATTATAGACTTAATAGCTGTTCTTATTTTCCTGGACCCCATGCACACTTTCACTACTTTACTTAGCAAATATTGACTGATTATCTACTGTGCAGTAAGGCACTGCAAGCACCGAATTGTCACTTGGGCGATGGGGTATATTCGGAAATTCGCTAATTGTTTCATTTTGTGAGTAATGGTTTCAGCCACAACATTTGGACACAGAGCAAAGGAGAGAAAGAATAGGATTGGCTAATGTTAAAATCAAAGCTTTGCTGAAAACAGTAATGTGTACTGAAGCAAAGCATTGTCCTCTAGGAGAGGAGGCATAATCGGTATTGAAACAGTGCCTGAAACACTTCACCGGACTGTATTTAAAATGTTTAAAGAACTCTTGGAACAAATGAAGCCCTGAAAAGTTCTTTCAAATTGAAATGAATTCTTGGCGTGCTTTCCCCTCAGCTACCAAGGCTCTCTACATAATAGCCTGCTCCAGAGAAGCCAGTGGAAGCAGGGCTTTTGTCTTAATTGTCTAACATGTGTCAAGTGTTTCGTATTTTAGGTGAAAAGCAGGAGGGAAAAAAAAGGTACCTCATTTATGAAACAGATGAAATGGCAATCCTATTTTGTCTTTGGTGCACTGCTCCTTAGGATTTCACGTGACATTTCCAGATTTAATGAAGTAGTAGATGTCCCTGGACCAACCTCTCATTGAATGATGTCCCATTTCTACCCCAGATAGGCATTTGGGGTCTGGTTTAGAAATAAGGGAGTGCTGGAGTTGGCAAAGCACAGAGAAATAGGATAGATTGAAGATTTAAAAGTAACATATGAAGATATGAGGTAAAATATAGGGTAATATTTATCCTCTAGAGAGGAGGGCAGACTTTTCTAATTTACCAACATTAAATAAAAGAATTGACTATAAGAAACTTTAACTATGAGAAAATGAAAATCTTATGCTAAACAAACAAATAAATACAAAGGGGAAAATGTCAAGCCATGGAAAATTACCTGCAGTGCATACGATAGAGATAGAGTTAGTATTTTTATTCTGTATGTAGCTCTTAAAAGTCATTAGGAAAAAGACAAACATCATAGGATGCTCCCTGCCCCCTCCAAAAAAGGGAATGACATAAATAGGGAATTCTTATGAGCAAAGATATAGAAGACAATAGAAAAAAATTCAACTTCTGGGGTGATTAAGTAAATGTTAGATTCTACATTGAGAGGTAATAGCATAAAGTAAATAAAGGCACAGTCTCTGGATTCAGGCTGCCTGGGTTGCTGCCTCCGTTTCCTCATCTATAAAATGAAGGTTATGGGGTTATTTTAAGGGGGAGACATGCTGATATCATACAGTTGGAATAGTGCCTGGCACATCAAGAATGGTATATAGATGTTAGTTGTTAGTATTTCTCTTATTAAACTGATAAATATAAAATGGTAACAGCAAGTGGTGTCAAAGGAGTGGAGACAGGCACTCTTGCACACTGCTGGGGGTACAAATTAGTACAATCTTCTGGGAGGCAATTTAGCATCATGCATTAACCTACATTGCCAAATTCCACTGTAGAAAATTTCCTCAAGGAAATAAGAAGTCAAATATATAAAGAAAAACTGTAAAGATTTTTTTTTCAGAGCTATGTATAATGATGCAATACTAGAAAGAACCTAAATGTCCAACAGTAGATTCAAATGATTAGATACCCATTTAGTAGAATACTGTGTAGTCATCAAATGGCATAAGAAAGAACCATGGTACCAGGCATTTTGGGAACAACTGAAATAGGACTTAGATAATGTAGTATATCAGTGCAATTCCTTGGTGGTGAAAATGGTCTTATAGCTTTTTATGGGAAAATGTAGAATATATGTTGAAGTGCCATGAAGTTTGCAGCTTGCTTTCAAATGATTCAGGGAAAAAAAGAACATAACACATACACACACATACATATATATATTTATGGGGAGATTTTATATATATATATCTCAGAGAGAGAGAAAGCAAATGTTAACAATGGTGAATCTGCGTGAAGGGCAGAAGGGTATTATTCTATCTATCAACATTTCTCTCTGTATGGCATTTTTCAAAACAAAAAAAAGTTGAAAAATGTAGGAAAACATTTAAGGACAGGAAAAGTGATATATTTTAAGGGAAAGAGTAGTCTACAAATCAGTATATACAATATGATCTTTTTTTGGTTACAAGATTAGGATAAGGTAGCAGCAGCTGGTATTTACTGGAGCGTTTCTGGGTGCCAGGCACTGTGTTAAGTGTGCATTGTCTCATGTAGCTAAAACCCTATGAGGTTATGAGGCCGTATGATTTTCCTCATGTGAAAAATTAATAGATAGAAATTCGAGATTAAAAACTTACTCAAATCTCACAGGCAGCCACTTGTACTCAAACATGGGTCTTTATGATCTCACGTCCACACTTTTCTTTTTTTAGTGAATGAAACATTCTTTAAATTCCATAGTGCTTTACGCTTTTTAAAAGTTTCACACACATGATTTCATAGAATCCTGTAATAACCCTTTTTCTCCACCCCTATGTTGCCCCTCCCTGCTTCCCTCTCCCCACTGGTAACCACTAGTTTGTTCTCTAGATCTGTGAGTCTGCTCCTTTTTTGTTTTATTCTCTAGTCTGTCATATTTTGTAGATTCCACATATAAGTGACATCATACAGTATTTGTCTTTCTCTGTATGACTTGTTTCATTCAAGTCCACACTCTTAACTATCACTCTGTTGCACAAAGGAAAGAGCACAAGGCGCTGTAGCTGCTGACAGTGAGGCAGATTACACTGAGGGCTGTAAGGGAGGCACATGTCCAACGTTTTAAAAAAGTGAAGCAAAGGAAGAGGCGAGTTCTGGAGGGCAGGAGGAGTGTAATAGTTCTTACCAAAGTGGTACCACTTGAAATGGGCTTTGAAGTATCCGTAGGAGTACAATAGGGGAAAAAGCATTTGGTACAGAGGGAACAGCATGAGTAAAGACAGACAATGCATTTAAGAAACTATAAATAGTTTGTGGGGAGCATGGGGTCAGGTTAACCAGGGCAGATGGCAATGAGTAAGATTGGACAGCGACCAGCACTACTCCTTTCTGAAGGCAATGTGAGCTGTTTTTGAAAAATGACCCAGGCTGCTGAGCAGTCTGGATGGGAACATGAGACTGTCACTGGGGAGACCATGTAAGTGGCTTTTGGGAACAGTCCCAACAGGAGGTGATGAACAGTTTTACCAGAATAAGAACAGTGGGGATGAAAAGGGAAGAGAATGGAAGCTCCCCACTCTGAAAGTCTGCAGTATTACTTTGGGACAGGCCATAATAAATACACGTCTTAAATTATCATCTTATCTTCCTGAGCTGGTCCTTGGCTTGTTTGTGCTCACAGCTCTACCTGCTCTGCTTTTTCTACTTTGTATCACAGGAACTACCTTTCCCAGACTCCCTTACCCTTCCCTTCTTGATGGGTTTAGCCAATGGGAGGCACTGGCAGAAGATGGGGGACAGGAGAAGGGGAGAGCCCAGGGTTTTCTGTCCCTCTCTGTCTGCTGAAGGCTGTGTTCCTGGCAGCAGCTGTGTCTCATCCCTGAGCCCACATCCCGCTGGGCAGCCCCTCGCAATATGGAGCTATCTCTCCTGCTCGGCCTCCATTGTGGCTCTAGATTCTGTCAGATGGCTTGGCTTCTGGGCTCTGGGAACACCATCTTCTCCCCATCT